CGTATGGCTTTGAGCTTCAACCCAGATCTAGAGATAATGACTGTTATTATTTTCGCCCCTAAACTAAATGCTTTCCAAGTCCAGGCCTTTTTCAGGTAGGCTTGCAATATAATAAAGACAACAAAACAAAATATATAAACATTCAAAACCAGGGGGGATGTGACACCAGAATTAAAACTGTTGTTTTCTAAGCCTGCCTCCAGTCCCTGAATCCATAATCAATGTGGCCACATTTAATTCAGGGGTAAGTAACATGATTCTCTTACTACTGGCACTTTCTCTCAGAGGGAATTTATCAGGCATGGGGGGCGGGTAAGAGGACAGTGACATCAAGGGCACCATAATGTTATTGTTGCAAATTACAGATGGCATCATGGTGTCATTGTGGCTTATATCATCACATGCTTATGTTATCGTGATCTACAAACAACAATGGATGGGGCCAGAACTACTGTGGGTGGTATAGAAGCTACATTCAACAAAACATGTACAAACATACTGTCTCTTAAGATCATCATCATCCTACAATTGTAGCTTAAGAATCTCAACGGGAAAATTATTTGGAGCAATAACAATCTTAGTAAAGAATCTTTGCTTCAGTCTTCTTCACACTCCATCCATCCTCCCTCTCTCTGTCTCATGCGCACCCAGAGAGACACACTGGACGGATCCATGCATGGAAACTGTTTCTTATCCCTGTTTGTGTGAGCAGGGAGCTGGTTCTCACTTACCTAGGAGATGCTTTGAAGTATGGATATTTCCAGATCAGTGCTTTCAAAATGGTTCTTCTCCCCCAATTTTAAAATCATAATTTAAAAGACCATGTCACAGAGAAACATGTATTAAATCCTAACAACAGAACCTCTGCTCTTGTCTTGCAGCTGATACTTTTGGTGATTGTGCCCAAAATTTTAAGTCATGTTCTTGATAACTATTTTGTCTCATTATAAATTGATACCTTTGATCCAGCTTGGAAGCTTTTTAAAAAGCCATTCATCCTCTCCTTCCCTCTCAAGCATCCTTTCATTAAGAAATACATTCCTATTCCATTTAGAATTGGGATCCTGAGTCATCACTCAAATTTAGTGAAGTCTGTTCCTTTTAACTTACAACACTCAAAATAATAGTACATCCATAGCCTTGTTTTTTTAATGCCAGACCTCAGTTCTGGAAAATGATGATAATAATGATAATGATAACAATGGTATTCTTTGTACCATAATAAAAATGCCTACATTATGATAAAATAAGCAGAACAGGTTACAATTTACTGAATCAGGGCACAGCATCCAAGCCAGAAATAAACAAGAGCCCAATTTTAAAATCTGAATTAAATTGGTAAAATGCAGGACAAAGGTGATTTGGAGAGATAAGAATAGGAGGTAGGAGGGGAAGGAAAATGCTCCCTTCAGGTAAGAGGAAACATGAAGCAGGGGAAGTGACAGCACATGTGAGGCATAATCTTTCTACTGACCATCTCTCCCCACTCATTTATTCTATATTTCTAGCTGATTTGCAAATAAACAGGATTGTGGAGAAGGATCCTGGAACTGAGAGAAGAAAATAAAGGATAATAAAGTAGGTAGAAGCCACAGTGCACTTCCCAGCTATTGCTAGGTGCTTCTCCTTTGTCTAACTTTCTCCCAACACAGACCCCACCCAGTACTCCAGACTGAATCAAATTACAAAAGTTCCTGAGTCCCAGAGTGGCAAGGTGGTTCCAAAGGACCAACAGGAGAAAGTGTCATCTCTTAGCAGGCTTAGCCTCTTTCAGTTCATGTGATCTTTTGTTGAGAGTGTTTCCTCTGGAGAGGAACTGGTTTGATTTGCAAAGAAATTAGATTGAAAATTGGCTCATTCCATACTCCTGGGACCCCTACTGGCAAGGAGGAAACTAATACATTTTGGAAGTGAATGAGGATGGTGGGAGAAAGTGCTGAATACGATTAATCAAGACATCTTAAGCTGAGAAATGGTTATGATGTATTTTGTAGTTAAAGCCAAGGCAAGTTTTGAAAGACTAGTTCAATTCTGAATGAGACATTTTCATATCTTCAGTGGCCAGTTGTTGTGGTCACTGATAATCCTTGTTTTATCCCCCAAAGAAGTATATAATATGAGACTTGTCCCATTGTTCATGCGTTTTGGTAAGTCAAAGTTTCCTTAACCGTGGTTAAGGAATAAATAATTGGCTAGAGTCACTCCAGCATAGCAGAGGATGCATCCATTATTCAGTTACCATAGATGGGCCAGTCTTCTGTTGGCAACATTCAGAGGAACTTGCATTCAGAAGATCAGTATGAATAAGCAACAGTGCAACAGTGTAATAAGGGCCCAACATTTAATTTTCATAGTAATTTATTTATTAATTATTGATTCAATTTATACAGCCATCCATCTCACATATGTGACTCTGGGTGGCTCACAATAGTTAAAACAACACCAAAACACAATAAACAAGATACAAATCATAACAACAAAAATATATAAAACCATATTAAACCCATAGAACACAATCAATGGCAGAGTTATAATCCATTCATAACATTCAATTCAACCATTAAACAAGGTCTATAGCTCTTACTACCAGTTCATTCTTTTCTCTCAAGCCCAGTCTTCTCTCTGTTTTAGCCTTAAAAATAAAAAATATATCAGAGAAATACACCACGATCATCTTGTGGGGAGGATCAGATGCTTAAGCAGGTTACTTAACCTCTTCTGCCAAATTCTGCAAATCCTAGCTCATTGTGTCCCTGAGCAACTGTTTAATCCCCATTCCACAACATTCCCCCTTGCAAATGGTTTAGCTCCTCCCATTCTCACTGATTATGCCCAGCAAAAGCCCATCTTTTGTATTTTAAACATCTAGCATCAAGGACCTATCCTCATTTAAAATTGGAGTATGAGATGGGAGGAAACATGCTTGGGAAAGATTTTTTTGCAGCGGAAAACTAAAGGGAGGGAGAATTAAAGACTCCTAGCCCATCTTCCTCTGTAAATGGCCATCCACCCTACATTCAGAAGTTTGAGGATATAAATATTTGCACAGATGACGGATTGTTCATTTGAAGTTCCATATTTGGAAATACTCATTTAATACTGTATAGACAAACTTATTCCTGTGTTTTAGAAGGCATCTGACATACTTTCATTACCTAAAACAATTTTTTTTTCTTCCTTCAAAACATTACTTTCCTCCAAAAATTGCTGGCTTTTCCCCACCAAACAATCTTACATTGTACCCAGCTATAAATGCTTAAGGGAATAATTCTGAATAAATAATGGAACTGAAGCATTTCTTCAAGCAGCAGCTTAATTGGATCAGATGATTAATGCCCTTTTTACTTGAGTGACTTAAAAGCAAAACTAGATTGCCAAATATTATAATCCCCTCTCTTATGGAAAGATATAGTGGCTTTCAAAGCTTTGTTGAAATGGCAGTTTATTTTGCTGACAAAATCCATAAAGATGCTTGCATTTGAGGAATTGTGGGATGCAAACGATGCACATGGATTTAGACAGCTTTAAACTGGAGATAGGGGCTGGCTTGGACCATGGAAGATAAGTCTTTCAGCAGATGCTGCTAACCAAAGATGGACAGAAGAAAATAACACCGGAAGGGCCTCTCCCTTCTAGTTCTGCTTATGGGCTTCCAGGAGACCACAGTTAAGGTCAGGACATTGGACTGGAGCTGTATTGCATTGATTGCATTTCTCTCTGGTAGGAGAACACCTCCTTGAGTTCCCATCCATACCCTGACCATAGGCAGACCTCTTAAGTTCAAAAGAGGGGCAGCTCCGGTGCCTTTGCTTTTTGCTCTGCTCATGCTCAGAGGTCTTCCGACCACCATGCATTCATTGGCTGGCTGAGCCCTCGGTTGGAATGAATGAACCTAGCCATCTTCCACCTCCTCCCCCCATTCCGCTCCATAAGCCAGCCCCCTTGCAACTCAGCCCCGAGCTTTGCGCACTCTGCAGAGCGGGGTAAGGAGGAAGGAGAAGCAGCCACTAATTCGAATTCCTTCCACTTCTCTATCTCGTTCTCATGCGGGGTTGAGCCATTGTGTCCTTCGGTCGCATGACTCACCGCTGCTCCACGGATTCCGCTCCTGGCCGCCTCCCGTCTCCGCTACGGGATCCCTGCAGCAGGTACCGAGAGCGGCGGGGCTCGGGCGGAGGGATTGGATCCCCTCGCCCGTTTCTCCCACCCACCCCCGCTGGA